TTTCTTTCTACAGGTTATCTTAAGGGTTTTTCCATTGTTTTAATTTATATAATACCATGCATATTTTTACATTTTTTTTTATTATTTAAAGAAACCAATCCAATGTACAGTTGACATTTGAGGCTTAATACTATAGAAAAGCAATACATTTTTGTAGCTGAGTGTTTTCAGCTTATTTTCATATAAATATATGGCATGCAGTTGCTTCAAACAATGGTATATACATTCAATGTAAATTGTGGTAATCGTAATTAATAATCGCAAATACAATTTTAACGGAATAATTGACGATTATGATTTTTGTCATAATCGTGCAGCCCTAACAGAGCCCAACACTGGTTATAACTGACTTTTAGTTTGCATGCTTATATTTATCATGGATTCCCTGTATTTACGGCCAGCAAATCAAGTGAGTGAGTGACGTGACATGTCGCCAAGTATGGTGACCCATACTAGGAATTAGTGCTCTGCATTTATCCCATCCTAAGTGCACACACACAGCAGTGAACACACACACACACTGTGAACACACACCCGGAGCAGTGGGCAGCCATTTATGCTGCGGCGCCCGGGCAGCCATTTATGCTGCGGCGCCCGGGTTAGCAGTTGGGGGTTCGGTGCCTTGCTCAAGGGCACTTCAGTCATAGTATTGAAGGTGGAGAGAGTGCTGTACATTCACTCCCCCCACCTACAATCCCTGCCGGTACGAGACTCGAACCCGCAACCTTTGGGTTACGAGTCCGACTCTCGAACCATTAGGCCACGACTTCCCCAACAAATCAACACATAGTAAAATTTTATTTTATTTTTCAAATGATAATTACAGATCGAATATTCGACTATTTGTGCACACCCCTAGTTGATACCCCTTTTTATTTATAGAAATATTTCTAATTTTTTTTAATTTGTTTTTCATTTTCAGTGTTTTAGTATTTTTGTTGCATGCGTGTATTTGTCATTTTTTTTGTTTTTGTTTTTTGTCTGTTGTAGTTTTTATTCATTTTTTTATTCAGTTTTTGTTATTTTAGTACATTAAGTTAAAGTAAATGAAAATGAAATGTTGTTTTGGCAACTAGCATAAATAAAATAAGGTTTTAATATTTTATTTCAGTTAGCATTTATTTAGTTTCACATGGTGTGTTTTTTATGGTTTTAGTTTGGGCTGCAACTAACAATTATTTTGATAATCGATTAGTCTGGCCGAATATTTTGTTGATTAATCGGATAAAAAACCTATTCCACATCCTGCCCAATGCTGTCCTTCAAACAAACGTGCCAACTGAATGCTATGAAAACATACTGTATGGTGAATATATCTCTATGCTAAACATTGAGTAAAAGAGTTGTAAAGCACAGTTTAAATGGACAAAGGACAGTTTAATTCCCTATATTAAAAATGAAAATAATAATGATGAAGCTTTTTTTGTAGAAGCATTTTTTTTATTTGAACTAGCACCTCATGACTACACCACGTTATGTACGAGAAGCTGCAAAAGACAAAACATGGTGACATCAATTTTTAAGCAAATATAATGGGCGATATATTGCGTCATCAAAAATTATTGAGGTCATGTACATATATTGCACGATAAGTCGATATATTGATTATTGCGACAGGCCTATTTGGTCGTTGTGTTATGGCGAGATGCTTTCTAAAGAAAAACCATAAGTGTTGTATTTTAAAAAGATGTGTCCAGTTTAAAATAGTCCAGGTTTAAAAATGACTTCTGGTCTGTTTCAGTCATTTAAATGCAAGAATGCGGCGTGAGAGCATCTCATAAGAAGTGCATAGGGGTCAAGTGACCCCAAATCCAGCCTAATAATACAGAGCTAAGACTATTTTGCAAGTTACTGAACAGCACAGCCAAACTAATTTCCCTATTTAAAAATATTACCCCATAAGGTAACAGAAAAGAAAAAAAGAATGATAGACCATTAAGGCTATAGTTGGGGTGGGTAATATGACCAAAATATTTCACTTTATTTAATATTTCTTATTAAAAATAACAAAAATGCAAATTACAAACAAGGACAAATACAGTACAGGAAAGATACAAATGAAACAAACTGCTGTAGCCTAATTTTTTTTCAGGTATTGTAGGTTTTATTTAACAGCAGCATTCATCATAGTCTGAAGTCTTGCACTTATATTATCAGAGCAAAAGATGCCTTTTGTAAACTAAAATCTTGCAGCTTTGCTGTGGCTAGTGTGTAATTTAAATTTAATTTATAAAAGACATCAAGCTACAGTCAGTTTAATCACGTGTATCAGTACTGTGCACGTGTGCGGTTTAAATGAGTGGAGACTTCAAACAAGTCATTCACGTCTGTCTCTCTTTCTCTGTTTGTCTACAGTAGCGTGATCGGCGTAGCCTGCATCTGAGCTGGTGACTTTTCTCTCTGGACGGCTTGAAAGCAGCTCTTCTGCTGAGTGCTCCTGGAGAAGATGTGTGCGCTCAGATAAGAGACTCTTCACACAAGAGACAAAAATGTGAGTCAACCTGACAGCACCTTCCATAATTCCAGAGGGGTAATAAAAGCTTAGTCTCTAATAAATAATGTCTGCCAAATAGACTAACAGCTGTATGAAAAGTGGCAGAGTGGTTTGTGTCTGTCACATCATGTCCTTATAGTCTGAACATTGTTTCACAGCAAAAATATTTACTTTGAGTGGCAGTACTTCAAAATGTGTTGATTTTGTTTTTCCCAGGGTTGTCACATTACCACAACAAAAACTAATATGATAACAAAGGCCTCCTCTTTTTTTATTAACAAAATAGCTTGTATATTAAAACAATGGCAGTAATGTTTTTTTAACTTTACAAGTAATAATGTAAAATAACATTTTTATTCATAATTAAAAAAACAAATTATTATTATTATTATTATTATTCATTTATTTGGCTGTCATCACATCGATTTTGTGACCTGAGACTCGAACCCGCAACCTTCGGGTTACAAGTCCGACTCTCTAACCATTAGGCCACGACTGCCCCAGCAATACTGACCAGGGTTCCCACGCTTCTTGAAAGTACTTGAAAGTACTTGAATTTCAGACATATGGATTCAAGGCCTGGAAAGTACTTGAAAACAAACATAGGTCCTTGAAAGTGCTTGAATTAAATTTGAAATAAATTTAGTTTATGGCGCTATTTAAAAATTGTCCTATATGTTCTGTCAAAGACCGAACAAGCGGCACTAATGATTGGGGGTGGAGATGGGGGAGCGCAAAAAAAAAACTTGTGTGTGTTGATGCGCAGCCTAGAGCCCTGAGCGGAACAGTTTTCTTAAGCCCGCTCCCGCTGAATTTCTGACCATTACCGCCCACTCCCGCAACGTGTGTCACGCTCCCGCAAACATTCTTATTGTCTTATTGTATATATTTCATCAACGAAAATAGTTCCTGTAAATATAGTAACAGCTGAGCCGCTGAGCATCTCTAAAAGCAAACACAGCCGAGTTTCATTCATGAATGAAAGTGCGTTTTTGAATGAATCTAGTGAGTTGGTGATTTAAATAGAAATTTTAAAAAGCTTATAAACATACATTTTTTAATTTGACAGATGAAAATGATGCCATTACAAAGTAAAAAGAAAATACTCCTGTAAGTCACTTTAAGGAGCAAATGTCACCTTGTATTAGGAAGGCTAATTTTTTATCAGAATTTGATTATTGATCAGAAGGTGCTCCTATTTTTTATTTATTTATTTTTTTAATTAGGAGGACAAGCGCTCCTAAAAGTAAAAATAAGCATAGAGTGTATCAGAGAAAGCTGAGAGTGGGAAACACTGCATGCATTTAATAAAATTCGAAAAATGCATTTACTAAGGTAAAAAGAAAATGCCCCTGAAATCACTTTGAGTCAAATGTCAGCTCGTATTATGAAGGCTAATTCTTGATCAGAATTGTTGATTATTGATCAGAAGGTGCTCCTACATTTTTTAAGTTGAGGACAAGCGCTCCTAATTACAAGAAGAAAAACACTGCTCTTATACTGGGGGTGTGCCGGGTATGGCTGTGGAATGGGGTTTGGCCGATTGGGTCAGCAGGGTCAGAAAAAAACAGGTGGAGAAGAAAAGACAAACGTTAACGAATAATTTGAATTAAAATAATTAAGAATTAATGTGAATAATTAGGTGAGAAACCATCAGGAACCATTTAGTCTCCAGCACCAGCATTTTCCAGAACTGCAACCTTCCTGGAGTCTCCAGAATTACAAGGTGTCAGGTTCTGAGAGACTTTGCTTGGGTAAAAAATCCTAAGAAATGATCCTCACTTAATTAGAATAACATGCTGAAATATTGTGAAATACATGAAGACTATTTTTATAGGCTTTATTGACCAATAAGTTGAGAGTGAGTCTTGAAGGACCAGCACCACATCCCCTTGTACCACTGTTAGAAGAATTGATCTTCCAGAATCTGGCTTTAGGAGCTCATTTTTGTCAGTCTCTGCAAGACAGACTTTTCAGGATAGGAGATGGACTAAAAATGAGCTC